AAAGGAAAGTGTTTTAGCTACACTTGTGCAATGTTATCTTAGAAAGCAAAGTGGATTTTATTTTTGAAAGGTAAGGAACATTTCCTAGAGTTACTGGACTAGAAAGTGCAATTGAAATAAATACAGGGAGTTTTAAATTGGCTGTCACCAGTAGGTTGTCTCTAATAAGCAATAGCCAAAAACTGTTGATATTTTAAAATTTCTGGATGCGGGCATTGTTTGTTGTAGAACAGTGGGATGGCTTAAAGGGAAAGAGGGAGTAAATCTGCTAGCCCTTAGCATCCTTCTGTGACTATTTTTCTTCAGCAGTTTCAGAGAAAGCAGTTCTGATCAGAATGCACAGAAACAAGCAGGCTCAGGTGCTGATTTGAATCCCGGTAACAACTTCCTTAATTTCTTAGTTTTAAGTTAAAGCCTAAGCTTATATTAAAACAAGAAAGAGAGGTGTTATCATCTGGTACAAATATTATTACTGGGAAATGTAAAATGGCCACCTTCTATAGGATTGAAAAGCAGTAAGATAATAAGGGAAAAAAACATACTGAGTTTAGAAAGCTTTAGGAATATTTTACACAATGCTAATACATGCAGTTGCAAAAATGTTTCCTCTTCCTCCCCTTTCCAGTTAAAGCTCTCCTGAAGGGAGGTGAAAGCAAAAGCAAATTGAGCATGAGCAATTCTATAGTAATAGTAAGACTTTGTTAGCAATTACTGTAAATTGAGATACAGAAAGTTTCTAAGTAAAATTAAAAGGAATGAAAAATTGTGGCCAGTTGCTTGTATGCAAGATGTGCTCTACCAGAGTTGCAACTGAAGAAACTTACTGATTTAAGTAAGAAAGGGTGAGGGCTATGCAGATGATTTTAAAAGGCTTTTAGTAAGTTTTATAACAAAAATTATCTGAAAAAAAATGAAATTAGGCCCTGGCTGAGATTGGGGAACAATTGGAAATCAGAGTATCCTGTTGGTATTTCTGTCCTGTTCTGGGTGAAGGGGAATGGTAATAACGTAACTTCAGATTGAATACTAACTAGTAGAAAAAGTTACTGAATGTGTAGAACGGTGATACTACAGGGTTTTTTAAATCTGAAAACTTGTGTATACAATAATATTTTCCACACTTAAATATTGGGAAAGCTCAAAAGGGCTGGATTTGATTACGTTGGGAGGGGAAGATGTATAGTTGCTGATGAAGTTGATAGCTTCCCTCAAAACGATGTAGTAAGTGATCTGAATGGGAAGTTTACAGTACAGTGTTTATAGCTTACATGAAGTTAATTGAAAAATGTGAATTTAATGGAGCTGTAAGGATTATACATCCAGATGTGAAGTGTGTGCTTGCTTCTCTTACTGGTTTGGGTGGGTGTCTCTTCAGAACGTTTTGTCATCACAGCAGGCAAAGCATCCCTGTCATCCAGTACGAAATGACAAACTCAGCTCTGAACATGGCAAGAGGTTCCCTGTACTGCTGGGATACTGAGTGCTGGGCAGTGTCTGAGAGGAGCTGCCTGAAGAAGGACAAAGCAGCTTCTTTTGGCTGAACAGCAGAATGATGAAAGTACCTGCCAAGGAAGAGGAAGGAGGAAAGCGCGGGTTCTGGCCTCTCAGCCAGGGGAGGTTGAGCTTGCCAAGGAAAATGTCCTGTTATGCCTGGCTGAATAATCCCCTGGGGCTGTGTGTGTGGTTTAATCCTGCTTCCTAAACCTGGGCTAATACATAGCGAGGAATCCAAGATAGCTAGAGGTAGACTGTGTGTGAAGGATCATATATAGCCTTACGGCTGTGTAGCCTTGAGATGTTTTCCTGGGGAGGATAGTCCTGGATTTCTGGTTTCTGCTTTCTCTCCTATTTATGCATGTTTGCAGAGTTTTGGATGCAAAAGTCATAAGCAGGAAGCAAAATCCTGGGCTCTCGTTTCTGAGGGGATAAGGGAGGCATTTTCTCACTGTGTTGTTTAGTCAAGGGCCTTCTTGGTTGCGGAAGCCATTCCAAGTGAAGTCTGTCTGAATGCTGCTCATTCCTTCTTCTGTCAGCGAGACAAGAGAACTGTCATGCTGGCCTTGTTGGCTGCAGGTGTTGTTGTTCCTGTGCGTTATGTACCGATTGTAGCAACAGTGAGTAGTCTCATTTGACATTTATGAAAAAGGTGATGTTTGTTAGCTTCCTTTTTGGATGTCCTCTGCTACTATCTGGTCCTTGTATGGTGAAAAGGAATGTTTTCACCTCCCGTAAGCCCGTGAATTTTGTGGAGGAGTCTCCAGGCCTTGTGGAGTTTTCCAAGGATGGAGATTCCTCGGCCTCCTCAGGCAGCCAGTCCGTAACTGCACTTGTTAGGGAACCATTTCTTCCTTATGCTTTCTTCAGGGAGAGCTGTGGGTTGCTTTCTCATACTTCAATTTTTCTTCAGCAGGGAAGCTTTGTCCAAAGTAACATTTAATCTGTACTGTGTATGAGCCCTTCTTTTATTATGGGGGCTTTTGAGGCTGGTAGAGAGGGTCACAAGAGTGCTGCAACCTTCCTCATGGTTTAAATTTACATTGGACAGATTGTGACTTTTCTGCAAGGTCAGATCGTGTGGGATCTAGAGAAGATTCTGGAACCAAGTGGAGAAGGTCCTTGAGTACTTCTGAACCCCTTGTTCAAACAGCGCGTTCATGCTGTTGTACTTCATTTCATTATACACATCCTGGTAATGTTATGGTGAAGGATGAAAGTGCCCACAACTGTCCTGGGTATATAACGCACACTCTTTGAAATCAGAATCTTGTATCATATAAAATGATACATATATCAAAACATACAAGATCATATACATCTTGTATGTTTTGGGACATATTGTTACATTTTTTTTTTTATAGTGACAGAGTAGTGGTCAGTTAAAGTTACTTTTGAAACTGGTTTCCTGTAGTGTAAGTTCTTCACTTGTAGCTTAAAATATGTAAAAGTCAGTTGTCTTAGTAAGTGATTTTTTTCATGATTCTGGTATTTTTTTTGCATTTATGTCTTTTAGTTGGTGTAGCTGGAGAACAATCTTAGTTATGTTCAATGTAAAAGCTTTTGCCATTCGTTTGTGATGGTCTTCAACTAGCTGAAGAATAGGCTTTCAAAATTTTTATCTGTCACTTTTCTGTGGGTTTAATGGCCTTATTAGATGAGTGGTGTTTATATCTGAGTTACTGAGTGGAGAAATAAATATTCACAATTAACACCATATTAACATTTGTTTATCTGTCTGTAGTAAAATGGTTCTGGCTTAGGGCATTGTGCAAGTCTTAGGAAAGTCCTTTTAAATACTGATTCTCTGGAGATATTAAGAGCAGAGAACAAAAAACTGAAGTTTTTATATTTTTTTCCAGTCTGTTAATGATAATTTTAGAATGGTCTGTAGAAAAGTTTTTAAAAACAGCTCGAGCTGGCAGTTTCTGCTTATGTTGTCCTTACTCTCTTACTAGTTTAATGCTTTTTCTGTGTGTTATAAAAGTCTACAAACTGTATATGAATAAAATGGAGAAGCAGCACGGATACTGTATTTAGTTGCAGATGAGATTCTAGAATGGTATGTTTGCCAGTCTGTGAATGTTGACATTAAGATTTATGCTTGTACTTTTTCATTTTCTTACACAAACTATGACTATCAATTTAGTAAACTGGAGCATGGGGGAGGATCAGTTGGAAACAGCTAGAAAGGATTTGTGACTTAATAGATAAAGAAAAAGCATGTACCCAATTCCAGACACTTGATACCATTCCAGAGTCTCAGCAGTGGTGGTGTTTTTTGCATTATATGATACATTCACATAAAGATAGTTTACTTGCTTTACCTAATCTAATAATCTGTTAGATTAATTATATAAATGTGGAATTTTATGCCCTTAATGTTCACTTACACATAAGACAGCCAGGGCAGGGGGACAGCACTACTTTTAAGGTGTACTGAAGGTCTTGTGATGAAAGATTTCAGTTTTCTTCCTTGGAGAGAACAGAACTCGTGTTAAATGATTAGCAATATCAAACTCACTTTGAGATGGAGTAGCTCTGCACTATGTGATAGCTCTCTTGTCATTCTGTTACATTACGTTAGTATGTTTGTCTGTTGGGTTAGCTTTTGTTGAATTTAGCCTAGGATAGGATATGGACAGTTTTTATACTTAACGGCAAACTGTCCTCCACTGGAAAAAACTTGCAACTCAGGATCTTAGTATTCAAAGAAAGCCTGAAGGGGAATTTTCTCTCTGAATTAGCACTTTTTCCACTCCTTAAGTGAAATGCTGGAGAATTGGGTATATGTCTTTCTTGAAATGTTGTTAAAACACAGTATGGTAAGTAACTAAGCACTTACTGATGACCCTAAGTTAATTGCTTAGAACAGGACTGGATACAGGAGTTGATGTGGTTATGAAAAAACAGATTGGCCACATCTTTAAATGAGGAAAAGACGGGAGTTTGATAGGTGTGGGGCTTTGTGTGTGTGGGGGGTGGTGGTGGTGTGGTGGGATTTCTTGCTATAGAAAGAATACATTGGTCTAGTCAAATTGAATGGCTTTGTTTAAATAAAAAAAAAAGTGTCTTTAAATAGAAAGAAGTCTTACATGATGGTAATGCTTGCACGAATACTAGTTTGTTAAGACAATATTTCCCTGTTGCAGAAATTTGCATCGTTTTTAAGTGCTGACTGTGTTAATCCAAGAAATTTTAAAGAACAACCTGTTTTTCCATTTGTGTGTCACTGTTTGTAGAAATCATTACTATTTGCAGTCTGTGGGGTATTATTTGTAGGAATTGTCTACACAATAAACTTAAATGTGTTACAGCTCATCTTAACTTTGGCTAATATAAAATGAAATGTAAACATGGTTTAAGTACTTTATGTCTGTAACGTTCTAAATGGTTAAAGCAGTCCATGGGGAAAAGTGTTGTAAAGGGTTCTTCATGCTATAATTGAAATGTCCTTTGAGCTTCTAGAAAACATTAAAATTAAATACAATTATAACTTTTTGTAGGTTGGGCTCATGTGGTTTGTGCTCTGTACATTCCCGAGGTGCAGTTTGCAAATGTTTCTACAATGGAACCTATCGTGTTGCAGTCTGTTCCTCATGACCGTTATAATAAGGTATAATTATGTGTCTTTTTATCTATATATAACGTATTTATCTTAAAATCTGTGAGTTTTAATAATCTAAAACTACACTTCTTAAATGTAGTTTACATAAAACTCATGAATGTGTACTGTAAAGCTGTACGTTTCCCTCTGTGACTGTGATAAATTCAAGAATTAAGAAAGCTGTATTAGGCAATTAAGCTGCAAAGTTATCGGCAATGTCTCCTTGTTCCTTTACAGAGTAGAGACTGTTTTGTTAATTACAAATATCATGATCTTTGAATAATAGTTTATTTTGAAAGCCATGTGAAATATTTTCCATATGTAAAAATGTTATTACAGCTTATTTGAAATGTTGTTATTAATTACCACTAAGTCCCACTGGTTTAAGTATTGATAAGATGTTCATAAACATTTCTCTTAGGAAGAACAGCAATGCTAATAAGTTAAGGCACAAGCTTGCAGACTTTTGCTCTTGTAAACAGTGTTCACTCTAACAGGATTATTTGCTTGTAGAAGAACTGCTCCTAAATAAGCATCAGTGAGATGGAATGCTTTTTGAAGTGTGTCAAGACTTTATGTACAAGAAAAAAAAAAGTTAACTTATTAATGTTCTATCCTGAGAGCTACATTTTTCTGCTTGTTCTTCTGCTCATGCTGCCTCTTCTCCTCTAGACTTAACTATCTCTTCCTTCATGTTTTTGTATTTTATCATGTGTAGGCAGCAAACTGTCTGCATTTCTGATTAGTTTTATTACACATTTTTCTTGTGCTGTTCCTTTTACCACCAGTGTCTTTTTCTTTTATGGTGGCTTGTGGACACTGGAAAGAAAGAAGAATAGGCTTTATTACAGAAGAAATGAGAAAAAAAAAGCATAATTTCTGGTATCCTTTCTACAGGGGAACCAGTCCGTTTTAAGTTGTTTCTGTAACCTCTCATTTTTGTTTCTTTTTTTTCTCATCTTACATCTCTTTTTTCTATTTTTTTGATACGTTGGTCTTTTCCTTGTTTCACATTCTCATAATTGCTGTTTCCTATGTTTTGTCCTTACATTTACTAGTATATGAGAAACACTGAGAGTCAAACTGTGGGTCCTTCTAGTACTTTCTCATTACATATTACCTGAGTATCTGTATCAGCTTCTTGCTGTCGGCTTCTTTCTGCATTGGCAAGAACGTGCAACAGTGAAATTAGATGCAGAACTAATAAATCTTCTGTGTTTGGACATAAAGCTGTACAGATTTGCTGTTGCAGATAATTTTTTTCTCTGCTCAACTTTGAGCCAACAGCATATCTGTTTTCTCCTTTTCCCCCATGCAGGAGTCAGAGTGGTTTCTATATTTGTAGCAGTTCATTCTTAATGCACTTCAAAAATTTCATTGAATGCTTTGGGTTTTGTATTATCTTGCATCTTTTCCATTGATACTAATTGACATTAGATGAGTAATTACTTATAACTTAAAAAAAATGTATTTTGCATTGTTTTATATTACTTTTTCACAGCATCCATTGTTCTGTCCTTCTTTAATTCCTTTTTTTTTTTTTGAACTGAAGTTGCTTCTTTCTTGAACTCTTTCTTCTAAATATATGATGGATAATTTTTTCCCTGATGAAATTCCCGTTTGCATTTGACTGGTCTGTACTTAAGCCTTTTTTTTGGTTGCTTGCTAGGTAAATATTAATGGCATACAGATCATGTGGAGTTCCTGCTGTTGTCTAGCTTTTCATTTTCTGCTTTTTTGGCTGATGTTCTGATTAGACTCTGGAAAATTAAAAAAAAAAAAAAAAAAAAAAAAAAAAGCTACTTTCATACAAGCCAATAGAGTATATCTTAAGATATACTAAGGTAATATATCAGAAATTGCAAGGTTTGGGACCAAACTCCTAGCCTACAAGTTGTTGTTATTGTTAGTTATTTTTTGTTCTTTGTTCCAGAACACAGACTTTATGGATTTTATTTGGCCTTTTTGGTTCAGGGAGATAGTAATTGTGGATGTCAGGAGAATGAAATTACTGAAGTGCAGTCGATGCAGCATACCTGATGAAATCCATCTGACTTCATTGCCTAATCTAGTTATACAGGACAGAATGTGAGAGGGAGTCACTGATGGGGCAAGCCCAACTTTTTGAATAAATCTATAGCCAGTGCTGAGTTTAGTCCTGCTGTGGCTATGCTGCCACCAGGTCCTGAATAGTTTTGAGCAACACCACCAAAATCAATGCAACTCCTAATTTCCTTTTCAGATAGCCTGCAATAACTTCACCACCTTGTTATTCAGTATAAATTGTATTTATTTAAATGATGTTTTTTTTTTTTTAGATCAGCAGTTTTGTAAAGCATTTAGCTCTGACTTTATCAACTTAACGTATACTGTTTAGGAGGAAATGGGAAAGAAAAGGTTTTTTCTCTTTAAATTACATATGGCAAAAAGTTCTTAAGACATAACTTTTTAAGACATTTTGAACAAATGCTCGTATTTAATTAGGGAAAAAAAACACACTAGAGCTGCTTGCCTTTTTAGAGAGGTATAGTGCCAATTTCATTCTGTCAGTCAACTCGGGTTGGAAAGAAATGATTTTAAAGAGGGATTTCATTTCCTGTGAAGTCCTAAGTAATTCTGTGTATGTGGTTGGGTAAGTGTGGGAAGCTAGCATATGGGATTGGGGGAAAACATGGATCAGTGAAAATTATCATATGGGAGAATTCATACCATGGTCTTTAAAATCAAGACAAGCTTCTTTGGAGCTTTGCCAGGAGTTAATACTTCATGTAGGATTCTCTGTGCAGTTGTTTCTTTAATGAATACTGCAAAATATGCAAGATGACAAAGTACAAGAATTTTGAATACAAGTAAAAACACAGCTGACACCAAAGTACAAGGCTTGTTAATATAAAGGCATTTGGCCACTATTTCCATGATGTTTACCTATTTCTGGGATAAAAACCTTCACATTATAGAGTGAATCCCTTGAGTGGCCTGATTAGTGAGGTAACTAACAGGGAAGTTCTTCTTACTCAGTTGCTTCCAAAAAGGCATGGACCAGTAGATGCTCTTCTATGAAGTAGGTGCTTTTTAATTCTTGGATGCTTACGTACGGATAATCTCTTATTTTATGTGAGCTTTATTTGTCTCTTTTAGGTTCATTTGAAAGTGAAGTGGTCATGGAAGAGGCTCCTAAAAGCAATAATTATATTCAGAGTTGATTAAAAATAGGTGCATTTGGAGTTTCTTGATCCACCTAGTAGTAAAGGTAGCTGATAAACTTCTATGTCAGTATTTGCTACAGCAACGAGAAATTTCTGGACAAGTTCTAAGTTTGATTCTATAAGCTGAGAATGCTTTAGGTAGCTGTTACAACTAGAGGAAAAAGCTTCCCAAATTCATGTTTTTGCAAGGCTTTCCTTGCCTCATCTTCCCGTCTGTCTTTTTTGCGGAGGAGGTTTACAGTTTGAATCTTCAAAGGAAGAGTATTGGTAGGAAAGGAAAGGCAGCTTTGCAAAATGTTTTCACATTTTTCTCGTAAAATTTCCTTGTGGAGTGCAAAGCTCTGTGTAATGCCTTATTTTCTACTGAGCTTGGGAAAAGTTTAAGTACTCTTTTTCCCTGAAAACTTCTGAAGAGTAGTGCTGGGATATAGAGACGGTTTACACTTCTGAATTCAAGAGGCTTCAGGGAAGGTGTGGCAATTGCACGGCTTTGCAAATGGGTAAAAATCTTCACTTTTCTGCTTTCTGAAAGGAAGATAAAGCTTCTCGAGCTTCAGGAGCTGTTTGGGCATCCAAGAGAAGATAGAATTATGAGAGGCTGAGCTTTGGAGAGAACTCCCAGCCCTTGTTGGGATGGGAGCATGCATCATCTTTGGCCCTATTTCATGTATAGGATTAGGAAGTGGGCTTTATACTTCTGACTGTTGTAGGAAGCATGGAAGTTCATTGAGCTTCTTAAAATCTGTAGGCAGTCCACAACATTGTTTAAATTTGTTTGTAGTGTAGCTAGTCAGTCTTCATCTCTCTCTTTTTTTTTTTTCCCAGTCATTTTAGTGTAAATCAGTCTAAGGGTTCCTGAAGCTCACATCCTAAAAACAGTGTATAGTATTGAAAAACAGGGCCTGTGTCTGTACTAAATGGAATGCTTATACCACTTCATTTTCTGAGCTTCAAGGAAGAAAAATTTTAAGGCAAAACTCTATGGAAAAAATAGAGAACAGTAATGGGAGCTTGAGTTTTATGGGTCTGTTGAACTCTTTGCTTGTAGAGGGTACCTTACTTTGAAGTGACTTAGGAATAGTTACTTATATGCAGTTGATAGATTTTATGAACAAAATAGGTCATCATTTAAATATGTCAGGTATGATTTGGAAAGCCAGAGAGCAGCCAGTCTCAGCCCATGCCAAATGACTAACTTGCCTGTATGCACTACCATGATATACAGAGGGGGCAAGGTGAAGAATCAAGTCCTCCTTTCTGAGCCTTCAAATGTTTATGGTTGTTGGGCTGTATTATCTGTAGGGTATAATGCTTCCTAAAAGCCTAGTGAAAACAGTGCAAGAAGGACTCATCTCTCCTGGAGCCTTGCATAGTAACAAAAGTGCTTTACCTGATGTTACGTGTTGTAGATAGCTCTGTCCCATTCTGTTCTGATTTCAGAATTTCACTAATTTTCACTTCTTCTAAACAATACTTGTTTTGCATTACATCCTTTTCCATTTTTAATCTCAGTGATGTTTTGGTGTATTTTTCTTACACTGTATTTTCTACCACCATTGTTGGTGTTTTTTTTTTATTTATTCTTCTACTTGTTTTCTTTGTGATGCAATCACAAGAAGTCAGTTACAGCTTAAATGGTAGACAAAAGAGAAACCAAATAAAATTTGTTTCTCCTTCACTAACCACCAAAGATCTTCCAGTGGGATTTCTACACAGGTAGAAACTGTTGGTGCTTGTCCCTTCAGTACAGTTCTGTCTAATTTAGAAGTACATACTTGACTGTACTGATGCTGGAGGATATTTTCAGTAAGAAACAACTGTTAAATAGTTAAGTTTTACTTGGGCCATAGTTTGCAACTGATGATATAAATGTGACATGATAAATCTCTCCAGATGGTACTTTGGTAATTAGAAGAGTTAAAAATGGGAAGAAATGTAGGATCCTGGTAAGACACACACACAGAGAAATTCTGTGAAAAGATTTTCAGGTAAAGAGCAGGTTGTTTACAGTTTAGCTTGTTTTTAAGCTTGAAATGGGCTTGGTGTATTAATTTAAACTTGGTTTAGAGAAGGTTCTTGCTTGATGAGTTTCTATGATGCCCATAATTAAGCAACATTTACAGGTAACTGAACAGCATGTGCTGTGGGACTTCTGAAAAGTTTTTTTACACCAAATGCACAAATAGAAAAACTGCAAGCTGAAAATTTTGTTGGTAGCTTTGCGTAGAGGTATGCAGATGTACTGTATGGTATGTACTGCATTAGGCACTCAGTCTAGTGAGATGTTTCTGAATGCCATCAGTACAGGTAACGTTAAATGATTGTGACCTAAAAGGACATGAACTCAAACTTGAAAGCAAGAAAAATCGTGAAGCCTAATGCTATTAGCCTCTGGTTGTTTGAGCATTTTGGCTGAATAGGTAGCAGCATAGAATTTAAATAAGTATTCATATTGCATTAGTATTGATGAGGTGTTACAGGTGATCTCCTTTTACAAACAAATGTAACTAGACTTTTACAAAAAAAAAATCTTATATAAAAAATTCTTATATGAAGTTACATGCAGAATTCAGCAGTTCTTACCGTAGAGTCTCCGTTGAGTAACACAGAACTTATTTGTATGCTTTTTATCATGTTAAGTATTTTCTTTTTGGTAGACCTGCTATATTTGTGATGAGCAAGGCAGAGAAAGTAAAGCAGCCTCTGGTGCTTGCATGACGTGTAATAAACATGGATGCCGACAAGCTTTTCACGTAACGTGGTAAGTATATTTTATTATTTAACATCTCTGAAAGAGTTTTCTAGAAAGAATCAATTGTATACTGTGTAGTAAACTCTTTCTTTACTCAAAAACATTCTAAATAAATACAGTAAAGTAGCTCGTGTTGAAATACCCATCTCTTAGAATTTACTAACTATATGACAGTGGTAGCATATACATCTACACGTTGCTGTGAGCTGCAAAAGCTGTCTGATGAGACACCCTTGTGTTGGATTAAGTACTCTGTGCTCTTGTGAACAAGGTTTAGTGTTTCTTGTTCTATGGTGGTTTTTTTCTGATGATGTTTTATAGGATACAGGAATGTGAAGACATTGCTTACCTGCTAGCTGATTTGATGTTTACTTTGGGTTAGGCAGTGGAAAGAATGTTGAAATATACATAAAAATGCAGTAAAGTGACGGCTGCTGGTATAGATTTCCAAGCATTTTAGGGTAATTCACTTCACTAGCTTTATCTAAATGGTACACATCCATCCTGAACTATTCATTTAGGTTTCATCTATAGCTGCTGGATAAAAACAGCCATGTCCATCTGATTCATTCTGCTTCAAGATACTGTGGATGGCAAGCATTCAGGAGATGGTTGTCTCACTTTATAGGTTTCTAAAAAGAGGATGGATAATAAGATGAAACCTCATGAAAAAGGAGACGAAGGGAATTCTACCCCAAAATTTCCAGGGGTTATTTGTTCTTTCAAGATCAGATGAAGCTATTTTATAATAGATAGCAGATTTACACAGGCTATCTGGGTACATTATCTATGAATTTACTCATCTGCTTTATGAGTGCCTCAGTATGCTTTATCATTTCTGTGTACTAGCTCAATCAGGGAAATGGTATTTGCACACCTACTTCAATGTGTTTTCTTCAGTGTAATCAAGAGATACTTTGAATGCCATGTGCAGATGAAGTTCTGATTTCTTTGCAACTCTGCACATCCTCATTTGCAGTCAGGGCCTCTCTGTGGTTGTGTTTTTTGATGTGTTCCCCCCTCAGTACTTGAGTGTCTGGCAGGATGTTGAGGTCTTAATTCATAACCATCTAATCTCTCATTAAATGTCATCAGTGTCAAGTTTGGTTTTATGGTGACAATGGATTTTACTCCTGAAAACTTGTTTACCATGTAGAGAGGTTACATATGGATGTATCATCTACTGTCTTTTTTCCAAAATGATGTTATTAGTGAGTGTAAAAAGAACATGATAATTGTGTTCAAAATGAAAATACCATTCCTAATCTTAACATTTCTTAGGTTTTTATTGAGTTGTGAACAGGTATGTAACAAAATATCTAGCCAGAGAGTTTTATTACTGTGGATATTGAAAGGCTTCTCTAATGTTTATAACAGGGCAGGAAAATGTGAAAACTACAGAAAGGAGAGGTCCAGGGCAAGGTGTGTCAGTTTTGAGTTGACAAAACTAATGTCTGAAGAAGAATGAGCTTGAGCCCATCCATTTTTGTATAAGGAGCTTAGAATGGCAAATCATAGCTTAAAGAGATCCTGCTAAATGTTTTCTGTAGCTGGTATCTGCTGTAGGTGTGCATGTATTTAGTAGACAGGATCTCTGGCTTGCCCAAGAACGTAATGTGTAAATAAGGGGACAATGATTTTTAAAAGCAATGAAAATAAGCTTCTGTATATGTTGTTCTTTAGTTTAAATACTTCCTTGCATCATTTTGACTGTAACTTTGCATTATTATGCTAATTAAAGTGATGCAGAAAATGAAACTGAATATTTGTTTTTCAATATCGAAGTTGGCTTTGGTACAGAAAATAAATCAACATTACAAATGGTGCAAAGCAAATTTGATTTGAAAAATGTAGTAGAATGAGGTAATATTAACCCAGGGAAAGTGATATTATAAGTCATTTTCTTTTAAAAAAGAAATTAACCTGCCACAGTCTTTTAAACCAATAAAATAGGGTTTGATTTATTATGTCATTGAAGTTCTATTAAAAAAAAAAAAAAGTAATTTTCCTGGTAGAGCGTAGAAGGATATATGCAACTTTAGAAAAAAGTATCTTCTTTGGATCCACCGTATAGGCTAGTTTTTTTTAAACAAGCACAAACAAAAACATTAACAACAAAATCCTGTTCTTTCTGTAGATAATTTTGACTTGAATTTGAGCTAATAAGCAGCAAGCAGTTGACAAGGATTGGTTTATTTACTTGTGGGAGTAGCTGCATAATAAATGTAAATTCAAGCTATACATTTATGTGAGTAGCTTATAGACTTAGGACAAAAGTATCATGTCTAAATACAAACCACGACTTTTTCACTGGACTGCAAAATTGGGTAGGGTGCTGGCGTGCTGGTACAAGTCACTTAGGTTGAAATCTCTTCTATTAAATGCAGATACAAGTATCTGTATATTATCAGCTGTGATGCTTTGCTGCAAGTTGATGTTTGATTTATTTTATTTTTAGTGCACAGTTTGCAGGACTTCTTTGTGAAGAAGAAGGCAATGGTGCAGATAACGTCCAATACTGTGGCTACTGTAAATACCATTTTAGTAAGCTGGTAAGTATTGGTTTCATTCTGTTACTAAATGGCACTAACTTGTTTCACTCAGAATTGCCATTAACACTAGCAATAACATTTTCATGCATCTCAGAAAGTAGATTGGATTTTTCTAAAACAATGTTTTAATTGCCATTATAGAAGTGCTAGCTAGAAATGTTTTTGTAAGTGGTTACTTTTCTAAATAGGTGTTTTTTCCCCCCTCTGCCAGAGATAGCATGCACAGTAGTTCTTAGGGTGTCTTCTAATATATACTAGTAGTAGATTTTTATACTTTAAAAGTATCTGATTTCCTTAAATTCCTGTAATGTTTTCCTTTGCTGTTTTTTTCAGTTGGCTTCTAGCAATTTAGTCCATTTTAGAACAATCTAGAAAATATTTTTTTTCCTTGCTGTCCTGTATATTGAAATATAAAGAAGGCCTCAATTTCTTTTTCCTTCTGTCACTCTATTTTTTCTGTTTTTCCTTTTGTGCTGTCTCCACTGTGTAGCCAGTGGATATTCCCTAAGTAGTAGTTCTCCAAAACACAACCTCAAGGAAGTGACTTGAGGTTTGATTATGGTTTGTTTAAAAACATTCCTCAGTTATTTCAGTAGATTCTTGAGCTACTTAGACCTCTTGAGCTTTTCATTTCACTTCTTAACACCAATTTAACCGTTCCAGATGTCTGTCTGTGTGTGTGTGTGTATGTGAAGGATGTATTTGTGAATATTGACCTATGAAAATTAAATATACATGTATAGACTTAAATTCATATGCAACTGTAAATATGGTTAAACATGTTGATTACTTGTGGAAAGAGTGGAATATTTGAGACTTCTGAACAAGTTGCAGTGAGGTAAAAACAGGGTCAGTGAGTCGTTTTAGATTTCTAGAAGATAAGCTTGGTGAGGTTAGCTCTGTGCTCTTATGAATATTGATGAGTTTGCTTCATAATGAAGATAAGTCAGGGCTTTCCAGATCCTATCTAAGCTAAGACTTTTTTTAAAAATCTTGAGCGAGGTATATAAAAAGAACAAAAAAGGTGTTTATTACTTAGCAGTGAAGGCAAACTCTTATTACACTATTTTGTGTTTGATTTGAATGTGCCAGTGCAGCTGTGATCGAAAAACACGTATGATTATTCAAAATGTAAGACTAATGAGCAAGACACAGCTTAATATTTGACATATAATTAGTTAACTTTCCATTATGAAACTGTAAGAGCAGTAAAGACTGGCAAGATCATGTTAGTGTTCTAGTGTTTCTTGAGGGATATTGTAACTGTTGATGCCTGGCAAATGCAGGTATTTATTATCTGTTACTGATGATGGTGGATGGGGTGTATCTACTGTACCACTGAAAACTTTGGAATAGCACTGACTTGAAATTCTTTATGATACCTCAGTTATGATACAATAATTTACACGTTTTAGGCACTGGCTAACATGAAATACTTCTAGTCTCAGACTAAGCTCTCAAATGTTATGGAAATACAGGCAATTATGTGCACTGCCTGTAAATGCATACATAACCATAGCACCCTGCGGTTTTTGTAAACAATTTAAATGAAAATATTGCAGAGAGGTCACTTGAATGATAAATTATGAAGCCATAAAACAACTCTGTCAGATTATGTTTTAGGCATGTGGCAGTGTTAGCATTGTGGCTTCAGGTGATACTCGTTTGAGCAGCAACTTTTCTATTTTTGAAAACCTTTGAACTTTTGTAAGGTGGTATATCTCATTTCTTTGTTGGAAGCATATTTTGCATAGGAGGTCTAAAAGTCAATATAAGGGTAGACTTAAGAATAGGATGTACAACGGGCAGTCCTGTTAATTGTACTCGTGTTGGTTATTTCTTGGGTTTTCACTAACTGAGGTTTTTGTTTCTTCAAGTAGTAAGGCATTTTATCAGTTGAAATGCTTTATATTTTTTTATTTATTCAAATGATTCCTTTTTTATATCCATAAATATGTTTTCTCTTTTTAGAAAAAGAGCAAACGGGGATCTAATAGGTCATATGATCAAAGTTTAAGTGATTCTTCCTCTCACTCTCAGGATAAACATCATGAGAAGGAGAAAAAAGTAAGTGGATTTGTCGTTGCTAATTATGTGGCACATCTGCTTAATAGTAGCACTTTCTGATAAACATTTAAATAACTTTTGCTGAAAGGCATGAAGGAAATTTTGTTCCTGGAGCACTGAATAACACAGATGACAAGCTAGAGGTGCTAGGGTCCAATGAGGAAACATCTTCAGGCGCATTTGTACATGCTCCTTCATTTTCCTGTTTATTGTTTCAGTGTGCATCCCAAAACCAACATCTGTTGGGAAGGTTGTTTCCATACAGCTTCCTTTGATTTAGTTTTTCTATTAGAAATCTTTTTGTTTTAGTCTTTGTGACTAGGTGGGAAAGAAAAAAGGGAGTAGACATTTTAGGAAATGTATGGGCAGTCAGGTGCATCTAATTCATTACGTTTTTATCTGTTGCACCTGTTCTCGTATCAAAGAAGTGACATCTGTTGTTCACGCATCTTAGTGGTACTGGTGGTCATGCCTGCTGTCACAGCAGAATACGTTGTCGGTCACGTGGAAATCTTCTGGTGAGGGTGCAAAGACCATAGCTAATCACTAACTTCTTGTCAGTGGCAGATTCTTTCAAGAATTTGAATTCATATTAAGAAAAAATAAATTATGATGATTATTAGTTTAACACAAATTTGCATTGCATCTTTGTTTATCCTTCTTTCTGAGAATACATGCAATATGCTCACCTGCTTACATTCTTTACAGCTAACTTAGTAGACTTTTCTGAGTATGGGTGGTCTTTATTCTGTATTATTAAAAAGCATAACATGAAAATTTGAAATAAAAAATATATGCTGACCAAATATGTACTGTATGGAGGAGCTATATTTATAGTCACAAGAAATTTAATAACATTTATCAGTCTTTGGGCCCTTGGTCTCCTTAGAGACTTTTACAATTTACAGCAAATTACATTTGTTTCCTCTGGATGGATGTTAATCTTCATTGTTCTATGATAACCTTCTAAAAAGTGTCTTTAGGTCTGTTTAATAGTTTAGGTGAGCATTTCTATTTGCATCTGGCAGTAAAGGAGTGTATGCATTGTGATGTAGTTGTACCTCTAGATGTAACTTCACGACCAACAATAATAAAAGTATGTGGTTCTTGGCAATTTTTTCTTAGCAAAATGGAGTTAGAAGGAAACAGTTTTGAATTACAGATGACAATAACCTGCAAGTTAAAAACTTACTAATATTTGCTTTACTTTTTTCATCATTTGCTTAATCTTTCACCCCTGTTGTATTGCTGGTCATGTTTTGTTAAAATACACGGCATGGGTTTTCACTCGCATTGGCAAAACCTTGAAGTTGAATTTGAAGAAACAAAGTTGGTGTTGAGTGGAGGTACTATGCTTCTGATAACAAAATACCTGTAAAATTTTTCAGGAACACCTGGGGGGGTCTTTCTTACAGAGTGTGTTTGGCCAGTGTATCTGCTCTTTGTTCTGCTAACTGCTTGGCTTCTCCAGCACTGGGGTCTTCTAGAAATAGTTAATGGACTTTGCATTGGCAAGTCCTGGCCTTTTTCTGCAGCTCTGAGAAGTTGTCCATAAATAAGATTAAATTTCTGGAGTACCATGTTTCTGGAGTATCTATGAAAGGTAGAAAATTGCATGATCTGCGAGATCAAGTGAAGCAGTGCAGTTTGCATTACCCTTGAATTGAGATTCAGAGGTTCTTATGGCATGTTACAGTGCATTCACTTGAGTTTAATTTGCTTTATATCATAGAATCATAGAATATCCTGAGTTGGAAGGGACCCTTAAGGATCATCAAGTCCAACTCTTGACACCGCACAGGTCTACCCAAAAGTTCAGACCATGTGACTAAGTGCACAGTCCAATCTCTTCTTAAATTCAGACAGGAATGTCACCAAGGTACCAATTGGTACAAGAAGATGCAATTTGACTTATTCTATGGTTAAGGAATAATCTGTGCTTTGGAAAACACTGGTCTTCGGTCAGTGGAACAGCTATGGTATTGGGAGCTCATTCTCTTGGTAAAGTTGATTACTTTCTGCAAGTGATGTCTCATTTTGATGTACTGTGTATTTGATATACTGTATCTTGGAGGAGAAAAATCATTATTTAGGGTGACTTTCCTTATTTCCTCTTCTGCAAATCCATTTGCAATCTCAGTTGTTGTCATATTGGAGTAAATGTGTGTATCTTTTATTTTGTATAAAAGTTTTAGGGATGGTGTTTTTCTTCTCCCACTAAGAGCACACAGATATATTTGTACTTTTTCTTCCATATTTGTAGTTTGGAAATTTGGATAATCTGGTTTTTATTGTTTGGAATTCAGGTAATCTGGTTTTTGAGCATCCTTAAAGTTTTCCTTTGTGCTGGGCAGAAGCTGTAAGAATTGAGCTGTATTTTTTGCCCAGGGAGGTTGTGGAGCCTCTTTCTGTGGAGATACCCAAAACCCACCTGGATGCCATCCTGCGCAATGTGCTGTAGGTGATCCTGCTGGGCAGGGGGGTTGGACTCGATGATCTTCAGAGGTTCCTTCCAACCTTGGCCATTCTGGGATCCTGTGAAGATTGGACATAATTATATTACTCAGATCTGAAAAACTATCCATTGGTTGCATATAAAATTGCCATAAGAATAGTTGGGTCCAAAAATATCTGTGTGGGTAGCTGTCATTTTTGTAAATAAACTCTGAGTTGAAAGGATGTGTTTTTTTCATAATATGTATGAGTCTCTTCTGGGGACTGCTTATAAAATTGATGGCAACTATATAAGGGTATTATAATAATAAGAGTAAAACCCAAAAAGCTTGGAGATTATTTAATTGTTTTGAATAATTAGCTTAGTTGCTTCCTGATCAGTCTGCAGCACTAAAAATGGGTAGTTGCTATGGGAGAGAGGTTCTTCAGAAATGATTAGAGATGAAGCTCTTGGTAGTACATTGCTTGACATCCTGTTATAATATCCATTTTGTCAGTGCCCAGGTGTTTACCTCAGTTTTTTTTTTTTGGAAAAACTTAGTCAACATGAGGCTGTGGAAGAACACCTTATTCCTGATGTTGCTGATAGCTTTATCTTTGGAAGGGAATGAAACAGGAATTTTAAATGTGTTTGGGATGCATCTCTGCATAAAAGAAATTCTTTATTAAAGTAACACATAAGAAGTGCTACATGAAAGTGGCAGAAGTGCCACTTACATGAAAATTAAACAAGTTTGCTGGCATTATATGTTTATGAATTTTAAAAAATGTTCTTTTTGCAGCTGAATTAAATAAAAGTCTGTTTGTACCAGAAGTGCTTTGGTCTGGGTAGATGAGAAAGGAAAAATTTTAAATTCTTTGCTGTGATAGGGTATTAGTCCTTGTAAACTATTAAAAAAAAAAATAATCCATGGATGGCAAAATTCTGAAACGCTTTTCTGAAGAAATTCTGCTTACAGGGATTTTCAGTTTCTTTAAAGTAAAGACAAGCTTTGTTTATTAGTTCTGACATGGCTGAGTGATGCAGGGAAGGACTTGAGAGAAGAGCATTAGCTGCTAGTTGTTTGTTTCTTTTGTAAAGCTCTTTCACTGTGGCTTTTGCGGGAGTTCTGAGAGGAATACCCAGTGTCAGAATTTTGAATAGATCTCTACTATAGTTTTTTTTTGTTTGTTTGTTTTTCTCCACACGCAGTAAACAAGAGCTGTGGTTTTATAAAGAAAAACCACTTTGCTACTCCAGATCTCTTCCTGACCTTTCAGGGATCAACCAAAATACGTTCAGTTAAAAATAGCCATTATATACTTCAGGTGTTATTAGATGTTAATTTTATTTATTTTCTTTATTATGTCTGTTATTATGACATTATTTAATTTCATCAACGGTTTCAAAAACTTTGAAGTAGACTATTTTTGCGAGATTGTGATTTTTTGATCTTGAAGTCCAGTGTGTTGGAGCATCCTTTGCTTAACTCCCTACTGGTGGAACTCTGCCACGTTATAAGATAGAGGAGAGGCGCTTGGAACAACTGGGGTAAAAAGTAAGCTGAAGTTGGATGCAACTTGGATATTTCTTGCTTGAGAAAATCATGCAATGTAGTTTGTCTTAATTTGAAAACTAAATGACACCTGAACATTAAAAATTGGTCATTATAGGTTATAGGTCTGCTTGATTTTGATTCTGTTTGTTCAATATGTCTTTGTCTAAATAACAAGAGAAAGATACTTGAAATATCAAAGGAAAAATAGCTTGTTCTGAGTAAAGTTTTTGTACATTAGCCTTGAAGGGAAGTTTTGGGTGGCGTTTGTATTGCCAAGTTTTGAATCTGTTAATGACTGACAGTTAAAATTCTGACCCTTAGCACTGTATTGAAATGAGTTTTTGGAGTCTTTCAAGTAACTGTTTCAAGGACTGGTAGTTGGTAACAAGTTTTATGCCTAGAGCTGAATCGGTAGGTACTTGAATAATGTCAGCAGTACTGTTCCACCTCTTCCTGGAAACCACCCCGTGCCTATATCCTTTCACTGCTGTGACTGTAGCAGCACTGCCACTGCATTTAATTTTCCTGCTGTGGTTTATTCCGTATAAAATGATAGTTGAATGCTTTACCTAGGGCTGTTCGTGTCAGAACAAAATAAGTTAGGATTTGAACATGGGACGTGTGGACCATGGGCATCTTTCATTCTGGAATTGTTGTGGCCGTATCACTAAAAGCTTCCAGTCACTAGAAAGAGCCAAACGGGGCTTGTATTGGGGATTAGCAAGAGCTATACACAGCTTTTTATTGAAGACGTTAGTTGTGATGGTGACAGCCATGGATTTGCAAGCTTCAGGGATGGAAAGATGGTGCAGAAAATCCTGGAATAACAGTAGTACCAATATGAATACTCTGTGATAACACAACATTCAGATACATTGAAGTTATTTGAGGGAGTCAAAAATAGTGGTGAAAAAATGGTGATTTAGGCATTCAGACGGTTTTACCTACAGGAATCACTAAGGGAGTTAGATTTGAAAATGTTAACTCAATGGGAGCTTGGGACAGCCAAAAGCAGTAGGGGTGGTGATTTCTGTGATGGAGAAGTGGGCAAAAATGGAATACTCCAAGGTCAGCCAAGCAGTTTTGTTTGAAGGGCCAAGCAGTGGTGCTTGCTGATAGTGTGCATGTGCTTTGGTAATTCCAGTCGTTAGTCTCCTGTTCTGCAGGCAGGTGAGCTGTATTCTGCTTCTGCTTCTTCATGGCTCTGTTACTGTCCGTCTTAGACTTATTCACCAAAATAACCTATCTTACTAAAACAGCAGAAAACTATCCACTTTGATTTTTTTTTTTTCTTTTTGCTGCTATTGTAGAAGTTTGGGCTGGCACATAGAAGGTCTGAAAAGCTACACAGCATGGGACAGGTGAGAGAGGGGCCAAGATTTTTTTTTTGTTTGTAATGGGAAACTGTTAAATGCCAAACTTCAAAACATACTTTCATGATATGAAGTACTGTTGAAACGTCTTCTGAGGAAATCGATGCATTCCAGAGACAAAAATGAATTGCAAATAAGTGTACTTACCTTTTAACAAATTAAATGATTCTTACATGTGGGAACATTATAAATGTATGCTATTAGAGAAAAGCTGAAGTCATCTATTTCATCTGTACTGAAAAAAGTGATCACTTGCTTAATTCAGTCTTCCTGGAGATTGAGGTCCAGCCTGGGAAACCTGGATGTGATAACACTTACTCTGTTGGTAACAGATTAGAGCTAAATAAAATGATACAAATATATTAACTTGATATTTTGATGAGATACTTTCATTTGGTAATCTGAAAGTATGTTAAAGAAAATGAGTGGACAAGTGCTGGTCTTTGGAGTAATGTGGATACTCCAAGGTGTGAATGAGCTTAACAGAACAAAAAATAAACAAAACACCAAAGAGCTGGAAAAATCTGTATTTGGGAAATCATATTATTTAATTGTCTTGTATATCTGGTCTTTGTAGAAGAAACAGACACCATTGAGATGTGCCTTGTTGCTGTTTTTTCTTTTTTTGTTCCCCCCCTCCCCCCCAAGAAGGCAACGAACAGGAGGTGCTGTAGAATTCCAGAAACCTTGGACCCCATTTGCTTTCTTACCTTGCATCATGTAGTTATTTTAATTAAGAAGGTATTACATAGTTTTGTAGGTAAGAAACAAAAGCCCCAGATGAGCTGCCCACTGGTAAATAGAGCTTTCTGATTAATCACGACATATGAACTCTGAGTACTTTGTATTTTGTTTAGCTACATCATAAATCAGGGCTATTCGTCTTCTAGGACAAATAATACTACAGCTGCTTATGCAATGGCTGGCTGGCAATCAGACCTCATCTTTTTCTTACAGTACGAAAGGTTTCAGGAGCTGCCTGGACCTGGTCTGATGAGCTGCCTATTTGTGAACCAGGACTGAAGGTTGCTTTGCCAGTTCTGTAGCTGGTCCCATATTTATTAATGTTCCTTACAATGTTTTTCTGCAAACTCTTGTTTTTTACAGGATGTATTCTGTTCGGAATAATTGAACTCATGCCAGTTAATCTTTTTTAAAAGAAGTTTTAGTATGTAAGGGGGACGCATGGGTTCTGCTTGCCCTCAGTGCTCCACTTACTAGCAGCCCTATTTTCAGTCCTTTTAACGTATATTTTCTGCTTTTTTTTTTTTTTTCCATCCAGTAGAGATTTGCTTTATGGTCAGACAGTTGCTGTCATTACTTTCTCTAGAATGGTGGCTTTCCATGTGGCTTTCAGGATAGATGTTTGTCTCAGGATCTGTGGCTGACCAGAGGCGGAGGTCTGACAGAAAGCTCAGTGAATTGCCATGAAGGACCGGCTGTTTGTCTCTTTTTTCTGATGGATGGAAAGATCATTGGTTTGTGTCCTTTGAGGCCAACTTGATTGAAAGCTTTCATGTTGATTAGATACTGTGGGAGTTCATGTTCCTCTGTTACTCTTCCTGTGGATCCAGAAGCGGATCTTGCTGTACTTTGTGTGCGTCTTTAGGGTGAGACAAGGGTGCAACTGCAAGGGCTCACCCTGTTGGGAGCTACATCTCTTCCTCTCAGCAGGTTGCAGAAACACTTATTCTTATCTTTGTAAAATCTGGGCCTTCGTTTCAAAGGTTTTCCTGCAGTGAAATTTGCCCTGCTTCTTTGATGTTATTTGCATCTGGAGTCAATTCCCATTCAGAAGTAGGGCATCTGAACTTTCTTAGAAAGAAAAAAAAAAACACAAAACAGGATGGGGGGAGAGATATTTGTCAGAGGAGGTATAACATGAAAGGAGGAGGGAATATAGAGCTTAGGACATCAGACCTCCTGGGGTCAAGATCTTCCTATGCGAAAGGCCTGTGGGTGGGGTGCCCTGCCTGTGGCCCTCAGTGACGTTGGACGGTGCCATCTGTGAGCACCTGGGTAACCTGTCCTAGCTCACTGCGTGTTGGAGTTTGGGTCTGGGGGAGACATTTGACGTGGTTGCTCATGCTTTGTTTTATAGGATTTAAAGCATCTTCTTTTCAGGTTCAAGTCTCTTCAAGCTAATGCTCCTGAACATCACCCTCCCCTTTTTTTCAATCCTTCCTTCCTCCCCCCTCTTTTTTGTATCCCTCTTTCCTTCTTCATGACAAATCCTTTTGTGTTGTGACTGCTATGAAAGTGATTTCAGTGCATTACAGAATATAATTCAAAATCTTTCTGACTGTTCTTTTGATCAGAATTTTACAGTCCTCTGCCTTTCAGACAAAAATAATGGTAGAAGTAAAACAAACAAAAACCCATGACAAAAAAAAAAAAAACACAACACAAAAACAAACAAAACGCTAGAAAGTCAACAGAAGAAACTGTAAAACATGTTCACTGAAATGTTTCCTGTTGTTTACTGATGGTGCTGCAATGTTTCATCTTAAAGCATTTGAAAATCGCTTTGCTCCAAAATTGTAAATAATAAAAAAAATCCTTCGGGGTGATTTGAATTTCCTACTAAAGTGATGAAAATCAAATAGGAGGTGTCTTAGTTCTATTTCATAATTTCTTTGAGGCTTGTTTTGGGGTTCAGTGAAATTGCTACTCAAGTTTATCTAAGCATGTGCACTGATGACATGGAAAGCTGGGTAACTAGCACCACTGAAATGCTTTTGAATCAACTGTGTTGTGCTTGAAACAGATTTGATGGTGACACAGGAAACTTGATGTAGTTGCTCTTGTTTTCTCCTGCTCCGTGCTTGTATTTTGGCAGGATGAGGTAGCAATTCTTGGACTGTTGCATTTAAAAAATGATTGAAATGACTGTGTGGTGCAGTTGAATCCTTCCTCTTTTTTTTCTTTCTTTTTTTTCAAATTTTTACTTTCACTATCCAAAAAGCCTGAAACAAGTAATTAAATTAACACTGCCAATGCTTCATGTTGTGTTTAAAATAAATAGATAAATACATTCTTTTTAGAAAGGATATGATTTTATAGCTTTTGGTATTTTGTTTGGTTTAACATAGAAAATTCATTTATAATAAAATTCATTTATTATATAAATTGTATGCACCTTTTTGGGAATGACATAGAAATAACATTTCACATTCTTACGCATGGAGATGCCAATAGGGGAGCCAAAGCTAAAACTTTAATGTACTGTAATATCCCAACAAAAATACCATGCAGGTGTGGAGATGCATGAAGTTTGGAATATTAGGTGTGGAAATATAGGAAGCAGAAAGCCATGTCTTTGTTTCTAATCTAGTTTCTTTAGCTGCTTGATTGATTTATGGCAAGATGGATATTAATGACGGTGGATTCATTAGTACTGGTTATAATTGAAGAATTTCAATTTGTATAGTTTGAAAGTAAATAAAAATACATAATTTGCTTTCATTAACACTGTTATCAAAATTCAAGAAAGATAAAGTGGGTTACATTAAAGATGAAGCTGACCCCGGATTATGTTTTCTTTTGTAACTCACAGAAATACAAAGAGAAAGATAAACACAAGCAAAAATATAAGAAGCAGTCGGAGTCTTCGCCATCCTTGGTTCCATCTCTTACTGTAACTACAGAGAAAGTAAGTTGATGTGTTTTTCTTCTTCTACTTCAGTGACTTACGTTGAAATTTCGTAATGTTATCATTCTAGTGTTTTAAAATGGCAAGGATGCTGTAGTTCTCAAGCACACTTGTTATATTTTCCTGTAATGCAAAATCCAAAAACACTTTTAAGATTTATACTAGGAAGAAAGCCTTAAATTTTTGTAGTTAAATTGGGAGTGATTTAGTGGCACCAATCAGGTGCCACTAATAATTCAGTAACTTTTATTTCAATGATTTTATGTTTAGTAGTTTAAGAAGTTTTATAAAATCTTTCCCTTGAAATTCACTTTTGTGTGCTGAGCTGTTACTGAACCTGTAAGCATTTAAGCTGAGAATTAGGAAAATAATGGTACTTCATGTAAAAAGTACGTGAAACTGTACTTCATGTACTTTTCATATCAGTTTGTCTTTTTTAGCAGTCTGCTCTGTTAGTTTCTGTGGTCTTTTTTTCCTGTTAATCTTCTAGCAAATACTTAACTCAGAGGGCCATATAGAGCATCAAATAACATAGACAGTTCTGATTATGCTTCTGTGTAATCTGACTGTTCTGGTTACTACAGTAATCAATTTTGCTATCCACAAAAAAAAAAAAAGATTTTAATGATATTACAGAATGGGCAACAGTGTTAAGAAATGAGTTTCCTCACTTCAAATTTGGAAAAATGTTTGTACCATTCACGTGGGAATGTTTGATATCTGAGTCAGGGCTGAATTAATTAGCCATCAGTAGCAGAATACTTCGTTTTTTAGAACGGATGCTGAAGCTTGTTTTAACTGTGTGTAGTTTGGCTGATGAGATGATTCAACAGATGTGTCAATTTGCACGTGGTACACCAAGACCATACCAGGAAAGGGTAAAACAATTGAAATACCAGCTTTCTTTAATTCCTGTGAGTAGTACATCAGCTAGTGGTATCAGCTTCAAGATTCATCACCAAGAAAGGAAACCTTTTATTATGTTTTGCGTATTTTTCTGTTCTCAGTATTAAGTGCATTGACCTGAGGGTGTGTACCTGTTAACATTGTTATTTGTGACTCACGCTTCTGATAAACTGCTCTTGTTTCTTGTTCTTCTGTATTCTTGTTGATAATGATAAGTCAAGTGAGACTTACTAATCAGTGTTTTTCTGAATTTCACGGTAATTCTATCTTTATTTTTAAATAACAACTAGAGTCACTTTGCCACTTTGCTCTTTTGATGTGAGATACTGCAAATAGTGAGTGTGACAGGTTTTTATTGAATGTTGACTAGTCCATGTGATTCTTCATTATTTTTTTTTTTACTTCATTTTATTAATTTGTCCTGAAACAACTCTTAAGATACCCTGTAAAACAATTTTCTTGCTTGGCAAGTTTCTTTAGCACAAAACCTAAACAAAAGTTGTATGGTTTATGTATGATCTTATCTTTCCTGAATATATATCCCTTTTGTCCTTTGGTTACTTAATTATCATACAAAGTGTTACTAAGAAGTGATGTTGCCATATATTTATGTAAAAGTTAAAGAAAATCCATTGAAATGTTGGTAAGTCCCTAAGTCCTACCTATTAGAATATACTTTTAATGTGGAAGACAGCTGGATTCTATTTGTCTCTCTCTTTTACCTTCAAACCCTGTGTTTGCTTCTACCAAGACTTACCTGCTCCATTTTCTACTTCCTTTTTATGGTGCTTCAGACATTCAGGAAAACTGGTCTTCAGTTGAAGTTACTGAATATGATTTTTAATATCTGCTGGGTATTTGGAATTGGCTCCTCTATGACTAGTTTCTTCAGATACTTTCTTCTGAATTTTTTTCTGAAGTCCTTTTGTATTTGCATGCATTTGCTTTTCTAAATTATAAATTCATACTGTTCTCAAAAATTTTTGATGATTAGACAAGCTTTGTTTCCTTCTGAGAATAATACTTAGTTCAGGATATTTTGCTAATATGGTAGTTTTGTGTGTGCTTTTACATAGAGTTGGCAGAATCGATTTGGGTTTGCTTTTTCACAGCAGTCTGTCTTTGCAGTGAATACTTCATTTTATGACTTCTGTAAATCACTTCTGCTATCACATTCTTCCTGTTGTGGGAACTGGAACTTGAAATGAATTTTTCTCTTCCTTTTTTAAAGAAGTGAAATCCTTTTTGGTAAGAGTGGTAATGACCTTTTATGTAAGTGGTGCCTTGGAGGATGTTTTTATCCGGATGAGTGATTTCTTAAGTTACATTCCTGAAAAGCTACAGAGTAAACTGAGGGTTTACATTGTATGTGTGGGTGTAGTTGGTTTGGTTAGTTCTGTAAAAGCGGATTTGAAGAAATTTAATGAAGTTCCAGCCCAAATGCTGTGTTCAGCTATGGGTATGCCTCCCAACAGGCAGTTTTGTGCATTGCTGTGATGTCTCAGCAAACACCACCTAGTCTGGATCAGTCAAATTGGAAAATCTCTGAAATAAGAAATGAACTACTCTGATTAATATATACGAGCATTTTTTTCACTTGTCTTTTGGGGCATAAATACTGAATGTTTTAAGAAGGACTGGAGTAACTTCTGGAATATTTCTCTCTATTCAGATGAGGCTTGCTCTTAGCATTTCTGTTACTTGGATGGGAATATTCTGTTCCCTTATGATCACGGGATCTGTGTAAGAGCCACCAGCCTTTTAGTTAGTCCTCATAAAAAAATCTTTTTCAGGTTGTGAGCCAGGTTGGGCTTGTACTGAAAGTTTAGAAATGTGTTATGTGGTTTAACAGATCAGAAAAAAAAACCTGACAGCCAGATTTTTCTAGGTATAGTTCTTTCTTTAAAGAAAGAAGACAAAAGCATGCCATGATCTACAAAGCAGTAATCTGCTTTCAAATCGTAGCCAGTGACTAAATACTTTAAAAGGCCCTGGGAGCAGAAAGTGCAGCTAACTAAGCTGTATTTTTACCAGTAGAGATACTGGTGATAAATCCTTCTCAGCTCACCCTGGTATCAGCCCAGCGTGGCTCCCGAGGGAGGTGCTTGGCCTTTGCTGCAGTAGGGTACAGGAGGGAAGGGAAGGAGCAGGGAAATCTCCATTAGCTGTGACTGAATGTTGCTATCCTACATTAGTGAGGGGTTTGTGGGCTGTAGGGGTGTGTGTGTGCATGGCTTTCTGTTTGTTTGCTCTGCTTGGACTGCTCTCCTACCATCTGGCACGTCTGTGGATGCTGCCTGCTGCGGTCCTCCCCTGCTCTGCAAGAGCACATCTGGGTTAGGGCTGAAGGCTTCCCAAGTGTTGGGATGCACTGTGTGCATTCAGTATGATGGTTGTGCCTTTGCAGTGAAGCTAAAGCTTTGCCAGAAGTTTTTAAGCCTTGCTCTACTTGCTTTCAAGATTCGCTTCAGTGTGCACAGTGATAAATGTGAGGTATCAAAGTGACGGTAGCTCTCTGCACCAAATTGGCAACAGGAAAGTGAAGTTTAAGGAAAAAACTGCAAACTGGTTTATGAGGAGTAATGAAGGCACTGTGATGTGCACAGAGTTAGCTTGATCCTTACAGTAGCAAATACTGTCTTTGAGAACAGGATTAACATTCATGAGCTGGTTATTTAAGACCTCCCAAATAAACCGAGGAACGGACTTGGGAGCCAAGAGCCGAGTAACCTCTGTTTTGGGGGGATGTTTGTACTGAAGCAAAGGGAAATGACTGACTGCAGCGTGAGCAGCGAAGGGGGAAGCCTCCAGCTGCCTGTCCCATTTAAAAGGCATGTGCTGGGGGAAGTGGGGAAGGCTGGGGAAGCTCCAGGGGACTGCAGAGACCGAAGCTAGTTATTAAGTAACCAAAGAAGTTCTCACCCTCTTATAACCTCAGAAAAAAAACAAACCAATGTAGCTTTGCCATGGTGTAGTACTGTTCCTGTTGGTGGTGTTTTCCTTCAGTGACATTTGTATTAGGTCTTCGTCTCCTAGACTGTAGTGTTTTAGAAAAAAATAAATAAATTGGGAGTGGGTACTTTATTTTATGAACCAGTTAGCGTAATAATCTAAAGTTTGTGCTGCACTTTGATCTCAGAAGCGGATCTGTTTTAAGGCATTTTGCTTTAATTAACTCCTTAAAGTGAACAACACAATCTGGAAAGAAAAGTTACTGACCAAATGATACCATTTTATTTTTGTTCATGTCTGTTGCATTGCAGTGGTGTGCAAGATATGCTGAAATCTAGATGTTTACTCAGAATATGTCACAGCACCTGCTGAAACAAATGCCTGCTGGAGCAAAACTTACAAAAGCAGAACTGCTACGTGCATGCGTGTTCTCCAGTCTGCTGAGAGCAGGATTCAGGCGTGTAGTCTTTGAATATTTCATTGGTGTTAATAGCTGAATCATATTATTCTTACCTTCGTAGTGACTGCAAATGAAAAAATATCCCCCCCCCTCAGTAATGAAGAAGAGATGCTAGGTAATATCAAACTGTGATTGTTGATATCTATAGATTTCTCCTTGTAGTTAATATTGAACTGAGTGGGAAGGAGGTGAGGATTAGGAACGGAAGGAATTGGGTAAGAGGAGAAATCGAAGATCCTAGAAAAAGCTGCCTTGGAGGGGGGTGGGTTGTAGCGTGTCTGGAAACCCTTTGTTCAAATGACCCAAATTTGAACCACTGCTTCTTAACACAGGTCAGGTGACACATCAGTTTCAGGAAAATAGAGCATACTTGAGGACTTCGTAATAGTTCAAAAAGTTAACTGCTAAACTTACCTTAGAATTGGCTCCATGTTCATTAAGAACTGTTACCAATAGAGTAACATCAATGTGAGGTAAATTACTCTTAGCATTGTACTTTAACAGACTTAAACTGATAATCCCTCTTCGCTGTTATTCAGAAAATCCCTAATATATTTTTATTGCAGTTCATAATAGGGCCATATTTGCAATTTTGAAGCGCTATGTTTTTCCTTTCTAGTTAGGTAAATGAAAATAACTTCTTTGCTAGCTTAAAAAGGAGTTGGATTTTAGTTGGGCTGTGCAGAGCTTGTTTCATGCCAGCGGATACCTTACAGATCCTTTCCACATGTTCATAAAGATGTGTATTTTTCATTAAATTATTATATGGTGAGATGCATTTTACTGGTTTGGCTTGCTATGGATATTAAAAATAACACTACTGAACAGTATGACAGCGTGAAACATCGTTTGGTAATTCTTGGTTTAATGTTAACACTGAGACCACTCAAGTCGGACCTTCAAGTTGGAAGGGTTCTTGGTGTTACTTCTATTTAGGGTGCCCTCTGCTTCTTTTCACTCATGAATGAGTTTGGATGCGTTGTCTTTGCATGTTTCTTTTAATACACTAGGTCACACAGGTGTGATGCAGGGGACTAGAGAGCCTCAGAGGGGGGAAAGTGAGTTTTGTCATCTATGTTTGCCTATTCTGGATGGAGATGGAGGCACCTCTAAAACGAAGCATGAAGTCTAACCAGTTTGAATCGCTCAGAGTCTATTGTTGTGCTCCCTTCAGAGTAATTAGGGTTAATTTACCTGTTGAAGTTTGGAAAGTGGTTTACAGTGCTTGTATGAAACAAGTTGAAAACAAAACAACAAAAAACCAACATAGACTACCACTAAAACAACAGACTAGCAGAATTCAGGTCAAGCAATTTCCACATTTTAAAGAAGCTATTGGCTGAGGGAAGGCTGGTGTGATGATGGGAAGCAAAGATGTAAGTGAAGTCAGGGTTGTTACAGTTAATGTTGGTTTGATGATGAGACTATAAAGTTTTAAAAATACAAATTCTTATGTTCTGAAGCCTTCATCAGATCCACTGCAGGTTGAACAATGTTTTCAGTTTGATTGTGCTGCATACAGGTCTTTTTAAAGTATCTTTTTTCTTCTAGTTTTTAACATGAAGCAGTAAAAATAACAACATTGTATTCGAATAACCATTTATACAAGATGAATCCATTGATCTCAGTAAAAATTACCAACGAAGTTTATGCTGATTTGAGCATTTTTTTCACAAAAATTTTATGTACTTCAATCACGTGTGTTGACAAACTTAACAATTAATTGTATGTACCTTCTGCTATTGCCAGTTACCCGAGTATTTGAACATTAAGTTTGTTATTTGAAACAGTGGTTTCTTTTAACCCTGTAAGTGTGTAAGAACATATGTAAGATATTTCATATTTGCCAAAACATTAATAAGCTGTGTGAGTAGACGTGGAAAAACTCATATGCAAGATGTGCGTGTGTATATACACACACAAGTGCAGCATGTGTGTAGTGTGCGCTAAAATATGTATCTGAGGATTAAGAATCTTGGCCTTATGGCAATGGCGATTCAAAGATTCTCTTCCTCAAATGGTAAAAGTAATTTTGATACCATGCAACTTTTTCCAGCCCTTGGCATAGAAAAATGTGTGCACGTTCTGAACTTGGTGTGAGTAGTTCTACTGACATAAATAGGATTATTAGATGAGTAAAATTGAATAAACTAGCAAGCCTATAGAACTGTTTCTATGATTTTGTATAGTGTTAAAGTGTCATTACTGATTACTGATGTTTTGTATAGCAAAACTAATAGCTTTGTGTTGGCTGTGGTAGATAAGTCGTCAAGTAGGCTTCCACAGATTGCTCTAATTGGTAATAAATGATCTGGCGGTACTGTGACTGAGCTAAATAATTAGTAATTGACTATTCTTCTTATAAAATAATCTGTTTTAATTCTCGATTAAATTCTTAATTCTATTTTAATTCAGCAGAAACTACAGCTCCTGTAGCATTCTAGTTGTGTACATTGGTTGTTACGGGTGACCTTACTGTTTCTTTTCTTGAATTCTTTTCTTGTCATGATGCTAGACGTACACAAGCACTAGCAACAACTCCATGTCAGGCTCCTTGAAGCGGTTGGAAGATACCACAGCTCGATTTACAAATGCAAATTTCCAGGAAGTTTCTACGCACGTTTCAAGTGGAAAAGATTCTTCAGAGGCTAGAGGGTCAGAGAGCAAAGGGAAGAAATCTGCAGGTCACAGCTCAGGTCAGAGGGGAAGAAAGCCTGGTGCTGGAAGAAATCCAGGAACAACTGTGACTGCAGCTAGCCCTTTTCAGCAAGGTATTAATCGTTCCACAGTAATACTTCTTTTGCTTTGACGTGAATTAGACAGAAATCTTACATATTTAAAACAGATTACATATTGAGAAGTAGCTCATCCTTTATCCTCAATAATGAGAATGTTGTTTCACTTGGGAAAACAACTTTTTTCAGGAAAAAGTGTTTATTGTCATAACATGAAAAAGAAGGTCGTGCATCTTTAAAGGGCAAAGGTGATACTTTTGTTTAGGTTGTTAGGGTATTTTCTTTAACTGCTGAAAACCAGAAGTTTCTTGTCTGCTGAAAAGTTGATCTGGGGTAACATTCAGCATATGAAATTGAGTAGAGCATTGTTTTAGCTCTTTAAGGGAATCATACAAATGTGTTTTAGTTAGTCCAAATTAGAACAAAACTGGTAATGTATAGGATGTGATGACTGCTAAATAATTTTCCAAGATGCAGGCATTTAAAATATACCACATCAAAGTTAGAGATGTTGCTCTTTGAGTTTTAATTTTTACTATTGTGCAATGAGCGCTTCCAAATTTGTCTATTTTTCAGTTTTTATTTTTTTCATTCGAAATACTGAAGTGTTTTTTGTTCATATTTTCAAAACTTTTAAAATTGTATTCTAGAATCTCATGTCTAAAGAAAAATCATACCCGCTGCAGGTAGCAAAATAGATCTTTATTACATGCATGAAATTTCTTTAAAGCCGCATTAAATTAAGTTACTTAAAATACAGAACAACACCTTTTATGATTTTTAAATTAGTGATGCAAATTTTATTTTTAAATGAAATTATAAGTAATTTCATTTTTTAATATTTAGTGTCATATTTAGAAGTATTTTCTTAGTGGGATAGCAGTCACCAGTTAAAATTTTGGAAAACAGTACCCACATATGCTCACCCCTAATAAATTACTGAATGTCAGTGAAAGTAAATTGGTGTTTGGATTTCCTAACTTGCTTCATTTTCTGCCTTGCATGTGCTAATGCAGTGTTGAAATGACTGCACTCCAAATATTACAGAAGCAATGCAATTCTATTACACAAAAGATCTATATGATTCTCTGACAATGTAAAGAAGTCTTAAAATGCCAATTTTATACACTTTGCTCCACTTCCTTTCCTGTCCTTTTGAAAAATACCTCTTCTGTGGAACACCTCCTCAGCCAGGGTAAATTAAGTGCAATTGCTGTTCCCCTGACCTGTGTCAGACCCCTTATTTAGGTAGAATGGCAAGGAAGATTGCAGGCACAGTGTAGATGTGATCACAGCACGTTTTATCAGCTGCCTTCTTTTTATTTGAAAGTGTTTAAAAAGAGAAATCTTGCTGTGACTTATACTAGATGTTTGTTATGGTTTCAAAACAAGGGATATCAAAGGTGGTTTTTTTATTTAAAAAAAAAAAAAAGAAAAGTTGTTGTTCTCCTTTTATTCACTTTTGCCTGGCTTGTGCCCTCAAACTTAATAATGAAAATCTGAGATTCAGATCTTGCAGAGGGAAGATCAACAGTAGAAACAGTGAGTCATTTTAAGAACAGTTTCTTTAGCTGTTGGTGACGCTTTCCATGAAGTCCTTTTACTTGAGAGTTATTTTGTTCTATGATATTAATATTTTCTGCTAGTTTAAGAATAATTTTTGTATTTTTTCTTTTTCTTCAGGAAGCTTTTTGGGCACTCCTAGCAGCATAAAGTCATCTTCTGGAAGTTCAGTTCAGTCTCCCCAGGATTTTTTGAGTTTTACAGAAACAGATCTGCGAAATGATAGTTTCACTCATTCTCAACAGACTTCGTCAACCAAAGATGTACATAAAGGAGAGACTGGGAGTCAAGAGGGGGCTGTCAATTGTTTCACATCCTTAATTGGTCTCCCTTCATCATCAGCTGTTTCCCAATCTAAAAACTTTGACAGCTCACCTGGAGACATAGGTAATTCAAGCCTTACTTCTACAGCATACAAACGAGCTCAAACTTCTGGAATAGAAGAAGAAACTGTAACAGAGAAGAAACGGAAAGGAAATAAGCAAAGTAAACATGGGCCTGGTAGACCCAAAGGAAATAAAAGTCAAGAAAGTATTTCCCATCTTTCAGTTTCTTCTGCTTCCCCAACTTCATCTGTGGCTTCTGCTGCAGGAAGTGTGACGAGCTCTGGTCTTCAAAAATCTCCGACTTTGCTCAGGAATGGAAGTTTACAAAGTCTTAGTGTTGGCTCATCTCCAGTGGGTTCAGGTAGGCATTCGTTGGACTTAACTTTCTTATCTCAAAAGACATATTTGTTATTTTAGCCTTAATTCTGAGTATGCTTTTCAACAACAGAGTAACGTTTCAAGTATCTGGAAAGTCATGTTAGGGAAAAAAAGGTCAAAATTAAGAGTGTAATGGTTGGAAGAGTTAAGTTTTGTTCCATAGATAGATGGCAATACGTAGTAGGTGGCTGTATGAGGTTGACCTGTGTATTGACCTATATATGAGATGAATGCAGCTTTTGAGGCTGTGGGGGAAAAAATTAAGTTGTATGAAAACAGGTGCTGTGGAAACCGAGTGATAGGCTTAACTAAATTCAGAGATGGTATATGCAGACTACATGCAGCCTGTATGTTTTTTTTACTTAGAGAAGACAAAATCAGTACTCAAGCATGTCAGCTGTGCTGACTGTCCCAAAATCTTTTTTTCTTTTTCAACTTAGCTCAATTAATTAAAAAACAAAAGGTGTGTATGGAGACATTAGTTTAAACACATAAGAGGATATTTCTGAATCTGGACTCCTGTGTAGCCAGATGATGATTTCATGCCCTTGTGTATTTTTTTCCAATTGAAATTGGCTGGTTTGTTCTTCCTCTATTCTAAATGTGTATACGATTTGGGCTGTGAGAGGCTTTCTGTTTCCAGTAAATCTGTGTGTGGAATGATGTTGCAGAATACTGTATTTACTGAAGTCTGTCTTGCTTTGAAGTTTCCCTTGAGGTCTTTATATTTGGTTGAAAACAATAGCAAACAAAGTATCTGATACTCATAACTTGAAAATTTTATCATTTTTATTGTTCTAGTTCTTTTTCGGGTTCATTTTCCTTTTTTGAGGGCGAAGGAGAAATGAAACTTAAATGTTTGGTTATGGGCAGGTTTTTATTCTTGTACATGGTTTTCATTGTATGCAATATGTAAGTTTAAAAGTATATATGCTTTAAAAAACAGAGGCTTCATATTTGCTTCAGAATAAGGAAGATACTTAAGAACTGCACCTTGATCTCAAAAATACTTAAGTCCTTGTTAGTTGTAGGCAAATAATGATTTTTATTGAGTGTAATAATAGCAGTAGCAATAGAAAAATATTTTCTCTGCATAGAAATTGATCGGGTGAAATGGTATGTGGCAAAACTTCGTAGCTCACTGTCCATCTTGATTGAAGTGCAGTTTTAGAAACATGTTAACCTCGTATTTGTTATCGTCAGAGATCACCCAACACAGATAAGTATCCTGATGAGTTGAGTCTAAACTTTCTTATTCCTCTATAATCCATTTGAGGTGTGTTTTATCTGAGGTAACAGATGGAAGTACAAGCTCTTATTTTGAAGAAAATGACCTGTATTTCCTGCTTTATAATTGTCCCAGAATATTCTGGTCTTGTCAGCTCCTACAGCAGGCCTTTTTCTGGCCAGGTCCATCCTTGCTTCCTTTGTCCTCTTTATTAGATCTCGTTCCTCCATCTGTTTATAATGTTAAACACATTGTGTGAAAAGCTTTGAAATACATGGATGGGAACACCATGTAAGTTTTATTAAAGTTATCATGATATGGAGCCTCGAATTTCACCTCGGTTAAGCAAACTTAGATTCTTGCTCCCCACCATTAGCCCTGCCCTCCAAGCCAGCGCTATTTAGAAAGGTGCTGAAGAACATATGTATAAACAAGCAACCTCCCCCTCCCCAAAACAAAACAAAAAAAAGCCCACAAAACCCAAAGAAGCAAAACCAGATGGGAAGTCTGCCTTTGAGCTCCAAATTCATCCACAAGCTTATGTTTGAGTCTGGGCATATTGTTTTAATGTACTTTTCTCGCTGTTTTCCTCTCTTTCTTTTGGTTGTAGTGCTGCTTTCCTCACTTCATCATAAGCATTTTCTGGGTTTAGCAGTCCATTTACAATTTTGTTACAATGAGGAAGGGCACGTGAGTGTTATCAGTATTATCAGAAGCATACATCTTCTCATGTACGATATGCTGATTTTTCCCTTCCTTTGAGATGTCTGTGTATTGTCCAGTAACAAAATAGGACAAGTGAATCTAAACTATTTGAACCAAGTATCATGTAAATGTAGTGAGAAGAAATGTAGAGGAAGTCGAGCCAAAAAGTTCATACCAAATCATACTGAATCATTAATGTATTATTTTAAAGAAGCAGAATCAGGGATTAGTGAGACCATGCTAAGTGGAGCATTTGAGGCACTTTGTCAACAATTTCCTCTTTTTTTTTTTTTAATTTCCTTATGAGTTATAGTTACCTTAAACTATCATTCCTTCTCCATTCTGTTAAGTCTGTTTGTCAAGATCCATAAAAATTACAAAAATCATTCCAAATGCGTGATAATCCTATTCACAGTTGATGTTGAAATTAGATGATAGATGAAGGAAAGCACATTTAAAAAAGTAATGCCAATTCATCATGTGTTATTTATGCATGTTCCATAAAACTGTCATTCAGAATAAGTGCATTCAGCTCATTTTCTGGAAACATTTGTCATCTCCAAACTTCGTTCAGGTCCACAGAACTTCTGGTTTACTGCTTGGTAAGATGAGAGATGTACTGTTAGCAGTGTAAGGCCATGCAATTAGAAGCTGGTACAATGCTCGGATTTAGTACAGTTGCCACGCCACTGATCTGATATTTCTGAAATTTTGAGCACTTGAGTTTTTCACTCCTAATGCTCTGTACAACCTGAAATGAGACACTGTATGCATTAGTTTGACAGTTTACTTACAGAAAAGAATGTAATTTAAAAAATGAAGTAAAATTTAAATGGTAGGGTAATAAAGAATTTTTATATCCAATTAACATTTTAATAATACCACTCTCCTTGTTAAAAATACATGCTACTTTAGCCAATAGCAGCTAATTTGCAATCCATACCTATTTTCCTGGTGGAAATTCACAGTCAGTATAAGTTTGTCTAGTAAGACATCAGTCAGTTGTCAGTGGGAGTTACGTAGGGCAGATAATGCTTTTCCCCAAAGTGGATTTTGCCTGCGTGCTGTGTACTGTAAATTAGGACTGTTCTTCGGAGTGATTTCAGGATCTGGTTTTGTTTTTCTTTCAACTTTAAGATTTGTTTTAGTTGTATTCACAGGATTAGGTTCTGTCTGAGCATCCTTCTAGGGAATAATCCTTAAAGATTTCTAGTCCTTCTAGCTTTTCTAGTCAGGGAACTGGATGTAGAACAGGCAGCCTTTCTGCTGAAGATTTTTCTTCTTGCAACAACGGTGATTAAAGAACAGAGAGCTTTCATCCCAATGACTGGCATCTTGTCCCATTGCTTACCCATGCTAATAGTAACAAAATGGATCAAATAGGTTTCTTTTATCATATTTGCATTTTAATTCAGTGGTAGTGCGTTTAGTAATAATGTTGTTCATGAGAAGAAACATGCAGTTAGGGTAAATAATTTTCACACAGTCTTTATTTTTCATTTAAGCAGCTCAGACAGGCTTTGGCCCCTCTGTTCAGAATGCACTCCAGTGAGCGGAAAACTTAGGGGAACTTGCATCCCAAAGCAATAGGAAAAAATCCACTTTGTGACATACAGTGCCTTCTGACTTGTGGGGTAATGCCGCAGGGTAAAATGAAAAGCAATCAAAGTGTAAGTAAAGTAAGTATAGTAAGAAGTAAATTGAGCTTTGTCTTCTATGGTAGGTGAAGTTCTCACAGTTGTTGTGCACGGATACTTACTGCTAGAGGAACGGCAGTGCTTGAAGCAAATAGGGACTCCTCTCTATCTCCTCCAGTTCGGTTCTTGATTTCAAGTGCACAGCCAATTGTATAGTGCCAGCTGTTGCTGAGGGCCTTCAAAGGATCATTTGTTTCAATATTTGAATTTTTGCATAATATTTTTATGCCTTTCTGAGTACTTCAAATCCTAAAAGAACCTATAGAGCCCTGTTCCCCTTCCAAATTGGTCTTCAAAATGCTGAGACCATGCTTTCTGGAATTTCTTTGTCACAGTTGAAGCAACCTTGTAATTTGTTCCTATGTTATTATTTATGTAGCAGATGTGTTCTCCTCTAGATCGGTGTTCAGAACGCTCTGGTTGGTCATACAAGACAGTTTTTACAATAAAGGACATATCCAAACCCAGTATTGTATTTAAATATAGCAATGCTTCAAACTCTGGTTTAGAAGCAATAGATGTTTTTGGCACAGGCCCCTCTGGTTTTATCTTAAGCTTCACCCAGTCTAATTTTCATATTTATGTAGGAGTTTACTAACTGCTTCAGAATAGCCAGTGTATTTTAGTCGTCTCGTTCATGTGGTTCCAGCCGTGATGATTCCTCAGCTGTTTGCTAGGCTGCTGTGCAAGGAGATGATCTTACTGTTAAGCTCATTGCTGTGCTGATGATAGAAGAGAAAGCTGAGCTAAGCAGATCAGTAATTTAGAGTCATTCTCATGGAGTTCGAGTCCCTCAGAACTCATGCTCAGTCTTCGTGATGTTATATTTAAATTCCCTTGTAGCCTTTGACTTACAAGCTAAATCTATTGGGGGAAAGAGTTTAGATAAAACTATTCTGAAACAGTTTGTGCTGTTGTTAATCAGCTAGGTGCCCCAGAAGCCAAAGCAGAAAAAGAAATTCTTCTGTGTTAAAAAGCCTGTTTGTATTGCAGATGGGGGAGGATGGAAGGGACAAAGAGATGGTAGTAGATATTAATGACCTGTAGGACTAAGCAGGCTGTGTAGGAAACACAAAGCAGAATTCTTGTCCAAAGTTCTTCCTGAGATGTTTTGGGAATACTGCTCTTGTCATCCCTGTGGTACTCATTTCAAGAAGTGATAGTGAAGTTATAGTAATATAAATTATTTCAGATAGTACAACTAATAGAGTACTTAGTTAAAACTTTTTGGAAAAAACAACAACAACAAAAACAAATAAACAAACAAAAAAAAACACCAAACTGACCAGAAAGATGCAATAATTTGTAGATTACTGTATTTAATTATAATACTTATTTCCTCCTAAAATATAA